GACCAGACCAGCACAGAAACAAAACCAACCAAAAAAATAGGCCGACATATGGCTCATTAGGCCTAGCATGCTTAATACCTTTGATTTAAAACACAGCACCATCAAAACAACAAAAAGTAAAAATGTCACCTGGGTCCCTCCCTGGAAGACCTGGCAGCACCATGTGTGACCTAATGTGCAGTAACAGTGAAGGCATGGTTGGCTCCTCCTCATCCCATCTGTGCACAGGGAGCTGTGGCGCACAGCACAGGATAGGTGTTACAGCTGCTTCCAGTGTGAGGTGAGGCCCACCTGTATATTTGGGAAATAGCTTTTTTTTTTGTTTTTTGTTGGTCATGGGGCTTGAACTCTGGGCCTGGGTGCTGACCCTCAGTTCTTCAGCTCAAGGCTAGCACTCTATTGCTTGAGCCACAGCGCCAGTTCCAGTTTTCTGGTGGTTTACTGGAGATAAGAGTCTCACGGACTTTCCTGCTCGGGCTGGCTTTGAGCTATGATCCTCAGATCTCAGCCTCCTGAGTAGCTAGGATTACAGGTGTGAGCCACTGTGTCCCGCAGAAGTAACTTTTTTAATGGAGCTTAAAATTTTCTCTTCACAGGTGAATCTCACTCTACAGATGAAGATAATAGAGCAGGAGAAAGAAATCGAAGAGCTGAAGAAGCAGCTGAGCCTCCTTTCTCAGTCCAAAGGGGTCAGGGGCTGACCTGGGCAATGGGGCTGACCCTGCCACCTCTAATGAGGTGACACCAGTCATCTGAAAGTGGACTTACACTCGAAGTAATCAACTGGAATGTATATTTTCAATCTTTCCCAGAGGTAGTGATATGATTATTGTGTTTAGCAAGCCTATATAAGACTTATTAAAGATGTAAAAGTATTTCCAACTGTCTCTTCCTTAAGGAGCTTATGACCAACTACTCCAAATTGTACCTGTTTCTGTCCTCCTCTCTCTTCTCAAGCATTAATTCTTGTTGCTGTCCTTAAACACTTAAGAACCCTCCAGAAGATTCTGCTATGCAAGTCCATTATACTTCCTCCCTGTCACAGCCCATAACAGGTCCCCATTCTGACAGCTACCAGGCTTCCAATCCTTTCACGCTGCTGTCAGAGCCACTTTCCAGAAACAGTCACTTCAAAACTTCGGCTGCTCTGTGCACTTCTAAGATAACCTGGGGCCTTGCATCCACCTGTTTAGCTTTACTTTTCAGATAGGGTCTTGCCTTTGTCTTGGATTGGCTGTGCACTAGATCTTCCTACTTCTACCTCCTGCATAGGTAAGGCCTATTGGTTGAGATGGTCTTGTTAATGTTTTGTTCTTGCTGGCTGTGAACTATCCTGATCCCTGCCTCCAAGTAGCTGGGATTACAAGCATAAGCCATTGCACCCAGTCAAAAGTTCAGCCTCTTAGCCCAGGGTACCACATTCAGCCATTTTGTGTCTTCCAATTCTGTACCATTCACAGCCATGCCCATGAACTTGGGAATGATTTCAGAGCAGCAGACATCCTTCCTGCCTTTTCCACGGTCCTATACATTGCTACTCCTCCCCACCCCACCCAACCCACTCCCCACCACAGGAACACTAGCAGAGGCAGCAACCCAGTGTACCCACTTTTGAATCCCTGGAAAGTGCCCCCCTACATAGTTGGGTGGAAGGGGAGAGGAAGTCATGGTGTGTGTTGTTATTTTGCTGAAGTTCAATAAAACGAGTCCCATAAATTATGGTGCTTTTATTGATAATGTGACAATTGATCTAAGTAAAAACACTTGGTTCTAATCCAAGTCCCTGTCCTGACAACAGGTGGAAGGAGCACCATTGTTCAACAGGAGCACTTGCTGGTATCACTTGAGGAGTGCCAGCGTGGTGCTGAAGGGGGCCAGGTTTTCGCACGAGCGCAGCCATCGCTGCACATTGGCGGGGGCGGCACCGCAGCCTTCAGTCTGCTGGAGCACAGCCCATAGCACCACATCTGCCACGGTGAGCTCCTGCCCCACCAGCCACGGGCTCTTGCCCAGGGCAGAGTTCATGGAGCGGAAAACAGCTGCTTTTTCTTTGCTGCTTCCCTCTTTGAGCTGAAACATCGCGATATCCACCCAGCTATCTATGAGGGTTAAGTTCACCGCGTTGTGCTTCTGACCAAACAGAGAAAACAGGAACCTTGCAATGTTCCCTTCCCCTTCAATGGGGCACATCGTCTGGACGCTGAACTTCATCTGAGTCTTGGGCACTGAAAGGGAAAAACATGCTGTGTGGACCTGTGCTTGCAGAAGAAGTCCCTGGAATCACAAACTGACAAGGCAATGTGTTCCCAAGAACCTTGCATTTTTTCATCTGTCTTCAGGAGGTGTCATGGTTGAGTGTTTAAATGCAAACTAGATGTTCAAAACAGTCACGGAAGCTGGGAGCTGGTGGCTCATGCCTATAATCCTAGCTACTTAAGAGGCTAAGGTCTGAGGATGGTGGTTCAAAGCCAGCCTAGGCAAAGAAGTCTGTAAGAGTCTTCTCCCAGTTAGTCACCAAAAAGCCAGAAGTAGAGCTATGGCTCAAGTGGTAGAGTACCAGCCTTGAGCAAAAAAGCTCAGGGACAGCTCCCAGACCTCAAGTTGAACCCTCAGGGCTGGCACAAAAAACACCAAAAACCATAAAGTAGTCACCAGGCATTCCATCACTCAGGCTGGGCCCTCTCCCCTCCTGTGCTCTTATGTGTGGCCAGTTAAGGAGTCACTGTATGAAAAGAACACAGCTGGATGCTGGTGGCTCACACATATAATCCCAGCTACTCAAGAGGCTGAGATCTGAGGATTGTGGTTCAAAGTGGGTCCAGGCAGAAAAGTATATGAGATTTACCTTCAACTAACCACCAGAAAACTTAGAAGTAAGTGGTGCTGTGGCTCAAAGTGGTGGAGCACTAATCAAACAGAAAAGCTCAGGGACAGTGCCCAGGCCCTGAGTCAAGCCCCATGAACGACAATAAAAATATAACACCAGTAGTCTTGGAACCAGTTTTGGAAAGGCTGAGAGCCACTCCAGCTGCTGTGCCTGGACAGGATCCTTTCCTGCAAGGTTCAGAATTCTTCCTGTAACTTTTCGCTGAGACCCTTTCCACCATAACCTCCCAGAACAAGGGTAGCTTGCTGTCCTGGGACCACCAACCACAAGCTTTTGAGCCTTAGAGAACTGGACCTGTGGGCAAACACCTGGAACCTGTCTGCCATAGAACATCCTGTCCCTTGACTTTCTGTCTAGTTGTGTAGGCCTCTGTTTTGTTTTTTTTTGGGTCCGGTCGTTAGGCCTGAATTCTGGGCCTGGGCGCTGTCCCTCAGCTCTTCAGCTCAAGGATAGCGCACTACCACTTGAGCCACAGCGCCTCTTCCGGCTTTTTCTCTTATGTGGTGCTAGGGAATTGAACCCAGGGCCTCATGCATGCAAGGCAAGCGCTCTACCACTGAGCCACCTTCCCAGCCCTTGTGCAGGCCTCTGTACATACCATTCTTCCAAATTAAAGTGAAGCCCAGCTGGTACTCATGACGGGGCTGTTTTCTGGTCTGTTCCCCAAAGCACTTGAGAAGATTTTCAGGGACGCTCTTGACTGATGAGTGTGTGTGCACGGTGGACAGGACCCGGTAGCGCTCACACAGCAGCCTGTGCAGCACCAGCAGGGAGAGGGGAGGGGAGGCCGGGTTTGCATTGATCACGATGTCCTTCAATGCCCCATAATCCTGAGGGAGAGACCAGAACAATGGAGCCAACAAGGGCACAGATATAGTTGGGTGCTGTGGCTCACACCTATAATCCTAGCTACTCAGGAGGCTGAGATGTGAGGATCACAGTTCGAAGCCAGCCTGGGCAGGAAAGTCTGTGAGACTCCTAGCCTTCAGCATGAAAGCTCAGAGATAGCACCCAGGTCCTGCATTCAAGTCCCAGTACAGGCACAAAATAACAAGAACACAGGTGTCTCAGGTGCTACTGTAGCAGGGTCATGTCACTGAATCATGGTTTTTCCGTTAGAGGGAGCTGCTATGATTCTATTTTACAGCTGGGAGAACTCTACTCCTGGGAAGGCAGATAGCTTATTCTGTCACTGAGCCACATAAGAAGCAAGTAGAGTGGGCTGGCAATGTGGCTTAATGGTACAATACTTGCCTTGCATGCATGAAACCATGGGTTTAATTCCTTAGTACCACATAAACAGAAAAAGCCGGAAGTGGTTTATGTATTAGAGTGCTAGTCTTGAGCAAAAGAAGCTCAGGGACAGTGCCCAGGCTCTGAGTTTAAGACCCAGGACTGGCAAAAAAAAAAAAGAATTCACTGTCAAATCCATCACACAGCTTAGAGATGACACCTATTTGTCTGCTTTACCTCATGGAAACTAGAAAAAAAAAAATCAGACATTTATTCCAGCTATTACGTCTAAGAGCTGGCTGGATAGTTTCCATACCAATTTGTATTCAAGATGTTTCAATGAAGAGACCTTTTTTTAAAAAAAAGTCTTGGCTTAGCTGGGCACTGCTGGCTCAAGCCTGTATTCCTAGCTGCTCAGAAGGCTGGGATCTGAGGATAGTGGTTGAAAGCCAGGTTGGTCAGGAATGTCTGTGAGACTCTTATCAACAATTAACTACCAAAAAGCCAGAAATGGAGCTGTGGCTCAAGTGGTAGAGCACCAATTCAGCACTTAGGCTCTGAGTTCAAGCTCCAGAACCAGCACAAAACAAACAAAAACACACTCTTTGTTCCACCTTTGAAATCTACAAGACCAAGGCAAAAATCACAGGGGCACAACATTCTTGACAGTAACATGGGACCACATCTCCCATCTTTCAAAATGAGCGTACCTTCCCAAGCACTGAGTTCAAGTCCAGAGCACTGGTGCTCACCGCTGGGGACTCATCTGCTGGCAGGATGTTAGTTACGTCGATGTCCGCATCTGGGGTATGAATCATTTTGGAGAGGCCATCGACTGCTGCCTTCAGCTCATACAGCCGCTTCAAAATATCATCTTGGCGGGACTCGAGTGCTTGCAGAGATGGGTCAGACGTTTCCTAAAGAGACCAGTATGTAGGGCTGGGAAGGTGGCTCAGTGGTAGAGTGTTTGCCTCCCATGTAGGAGGCCCCAATTCCTCACCACCACATACAGAAAAAGCTAGAAGTGGTGCTGTGGCTCCAGTGGTAGAGCGCTAGCCTTGAGCTGAAGAGCTGAGGGACAGCGCCCAGGACCAGAGTTCACCCCATGACCAACAACAACAAAAAAAGAGACCACTATGCGAGCAGTCATTGCTTCCCACCTCAGGAGGCTGGTTTGCAGGTGACCGCCATGTGTCTAACTTTGTTACAGGCATCCACTCAGCTCCCATGCCTTAAAAGCCATGGGGAATCATCTCCATTTCCCCCATCCAACAAGTCCTACAAGGAAGCCCATTGGTGACTTAAGTGTTATTGCAGGTGATTTAGTGGAAGAACAGAAAATGATGGAAAATGAACACAAATCATAAATTATTCTTTATTACTTCTTTGTGCATGTGAGTGTAAGAGAGAGAGAGAGAGAGAGAGACAGACAGACAGACAGACACTGGACTTGAGACCCACCTGCCTCAGCCTCCCAAATGCTAGAGTCAGCACCTGGCATGGATGATGCTCTACCACATGAGCCATGTTTTTACTTCTAGCCTTTGCTAATTAACTTGAGATAAGATTCTCTCAGACACTTTTTTTGGGGGTGGGGTGGGTGTCAGTCATGGGGCTTGAACTCTGGGCCTGGGCATTGTCCCTGAGCTCTGCAGCTCAAGGTGAGCACTCTACCACTTGAGCCACAGCTCCATTTCCAGTTTTCTGGTGGTTTATTGGAGATAAGAGTCTCATGGACTTTCCTGCCCAGGCTGGCTTTGAACTGTGATCCTTAGCACTAGGATTACAGGCATGAAGCACCAGTGCCTGGCTTCTCTCAGACATTTATGTGCTCAGGCTGGCTACAAACTGAAAACCTCAGATCTCAGCCTCCTGAGTAGCTAGCTAGGATTATAGGAGTGAGCCACAGTACTTTATCCCTTTTTAATTTTAAAGGGTAGGTTCCTAGGCTGGCTGTGAACTCTTAGGCTCCAGTGGTCCTCTTGTTTCATCTCCCACTATGCCAGGCACCCTTCATATTAATCATAGGCCAATTAAAATATTTTGCTTCAGGGGCTGGGAAGGTGGCTCAGTGGTAGAGCACTTGCCTTGCTTGCATGAGGCCCTGCGTTTGATTCCTCAGCACCACTTAAGCAAAAAGCAAAAAGCCGGAAATGGGCGTTGTGGCTCAAGTGGCAGAGCACTAGCCTTGAGCTGAAGAGCTGAGGGACTGCGCCCAGGCCCAGAGTTCAGGCCCCACGACCAGACACCCCCCCCCAAAAAAAATATTTTGCTTAAATGAGTAGAAAAAAGGTGGGGGAGAGTTAGTGAGAATGTAAGAAGAATTGATACAGACAAGAAAAAGGGAACTCAGAGTTTATAAAAGAAGTCTCCTCTAGTTTGGATGCAGGTCCCTTGGTAAGTGAGCAAATCACTGAATCTTTTTAAGGCAGCTTAGGGGGTGCACTTTTACCTTAGATCAGCTAGGACTTTTCCTAGCTGATTCCATGAAGACAGAACACTTAGATCCTCTAGGCACGGAGTCTGGATTCTTCCTGCTAAGCCCAGTGTCTGGTGCACAGTAAGCAAACAAGAATACAATTTGTATTGCTCTCATGTGCCCTGGATGATGACACACTTGAATTCTAATTATCTGTCCACTTATACTATTAGCATCTGCTAGAACAGCAGTACTGGGTGTCTTCTAAGTCAGAAGTTCACAGATCAAGACTGGTATAATAAAGTATGCCTGTAATCCCAGTGGCTTGGGAAGTGGAGCTGGGAGGATTGAAATCAGAGGTCATCCCTGGGCAAACATGAGACCTGCCCTCATTTTTTTTTTTTGTCGGTCGTGGGGCCTGAACTCTGGGCCTGGGCATTGTCCCTCAGCTCTTCAGCTCAAGTCTACTGCTCTACCGCTTGAGCCACAGAGCCACTTCCAGATTTTTCTGCTTATGTGGTGCTGAGGAATCGAACCAAGGGCCTCATGCATGCAAGGCTAGCACTCTACCACTGAGCCACCTTCCCAGCCCAACCTGCCCTCATTTGAAAAACAAAAATAAAGCAAAAAGATATAGTGGTATGACTCTAGGCCACTCAAAAAATTCCACAGTCAAAGTCTCAGAGGAAGCAAGACTTCAAACAAAATTGATCCCGCCAGGAACTGGTAGCTCACTCCTGTAATCCTAGCTGCTCAGGAGGCTGAGATCTGAGGATCAAGGTTCAAAGCCAGCCTTGTCTGGAAAGTCTGTAAGAATCTTATCTCCAATTAACCACCAGAAAACCAGAAGTGGCTCTGTGGCTCAAGTGGTAGAGTACTCACCTTGAGCTGAAGAGTTCATGTGACAGTGCCCAAGCCCAGAGGTCAAGCCTCACAAGCAAAAAAAACCCAAAAAACAAAAAATGTGGTCTCTGTTAAAGAGATGCCTTCTCTACTCTGGGTTTTCTTTTTGGTTCACTGGGATTGACATACAGGGGCACTGGACCATGTCTCCATGGTAGTGAAGGACCACTGACCCACAGTTGTCATTTATCTTAGCTCTGTGATGAGACAACTTGTGAACATCTGGGTTTCAAACTAACCTCACTCGCTTCCAATCCAAAGGGAAAGAAAGGAAGGCAGTAGGACAAAGTGAAAGATGTAATCACAGACAGCATATGTCCTCCCATTTCCTGTTAGAAGGTTTAGAATGTTTCCTTCTGGAAACCTCATGTATGTTTTTGCAAGTGATAAATTAAAGACTTCAGAAGTAAATAGTTAGAAAAGAAGTTATCAAAATAGCCGGGAAATATGAAAAGGAATAATTATTATTACACCTGTAATCCTAGCTATTCAGGAAGCTGAGATCTGAGGACTGCAGTTCAAAGCCAGCCCTGGCAGGAAAGTCTGTGAGAGTCTCATCTCCAATTAATGACCAAAAAGCTAGAAGTAGAGCTGTGACTTAAGTAGTAAAGTGCTGGAGTTGAGTGAAAAAACTCCCAGGTGGCCGGGCGCTGGTGGCTCACGCCTGTAATCCTAGCTACTCAGGAGGCTGAGATCTGAGGATCACGGTTCAAAGCCAGCCCGGGCAGGAGAGACTGTGAGACTCCTATCTCCAATAAACCACCAGAAAACCGGAAGTGGCGCTGTAGCTCAAGTGGTACAGCGCTCCCTTTGAGCTGAAGAGCTGAGGGACAGTGCCCAGGCCCAGAGTTCAAGCCCCACGACCAACAAAAAAAAACAAACAAACTCCCAGGCTGAGTTCAAGCCGAAATGCTGGACCAAAAAAAAAAAAAAGAGTTGGGAAAATTCTGTTTGCAGGATGACAAGTGCCAGGAATTATTCTCCTCAGTTAGCTGAGTATAAATAAATCAATATTAAGACTTAAACAAAGGGGGCTGGGAAGGTGGCTCAGTGGTAGAGTGCTTGCCTTGCATGCATAAGGCCCTGGGTTCGATTCCTCAGCACCACATAAGCAAAAAAAAATGAAAAAAGCCGGAAGTGGCGCTGTGGCTCAAGTGGTAGAGCACTAGCCTTGAGCTGAAGAGCTGAGGGACCGCGCCCAGGCCCAGAGTTCAGGCCCCATGACCGGACCCTAAAAAGAAAAGAAAAAAAGAAAAAGAAAAAAAAGAGACTTAAATAAAAGACTGGAGGCAACACCCTGAGTTCAATCCCCAATTGGAGACTCAATCTCCAATTAACCAACAAAAGGGCAAGGCTGAAGGACTGATAAAAATAATAGTGTCAGCACAGCAAGTATGACCCTGAGATCAAACTTCAGTTGGGAGAAGGGGGTTTGGGGAGGATAGGAGAGGAGGAAAAAAGCATTCACTACAGAATTGTTCATAACAGCAGAAAAATGGAAAAGAGTTCAGTGCCCATGAACCTCAGGAAGGAGTAGAATAGCATACTGCAAAGAATATGACTACTTTATAGTTGCAATCAATGACTCAAAAGTCATGTGCACAAAAACCACATAGATATAGTAGACTATAAAATAGGGCCTTTGGAGAAAAAGTTGTAAGTGGGAGGGGCGGCAGTGCTGGCAATGTCACCAGTTAACCTGGGAGGTGGCAACCCTTAGATTGTGGCTCTGTAAATTCTTCAAAAATGAGCCATTTATGCATTACTCTTCTAGGGGTACAATTTCTCTGTATAAAAGCTTAAGCAGTCACATGCCAAAAAAAAAAAAAGGGAAAGAAAAGATGGGCAGATCTCTTAAGGTATCCCTGGCAGCCTGGTCAAGGATAAGACTCCTAAAAGCCAGGTGGAACCACGCCCGCCCAAGCCAGGAAAACCAGGGCCAAGTCTACCGCGGCGCCTGCGCACTGGGCAGCTGGGGGGCAAGGGGGGAGCGGGGCACGGCCTAGCCAGGTCTGCAGCGCCTGCGCACTAGGCAGGTGGGGGGCGGGGCACAGCCAGGCCAGACTTCGGCGCCTGCGCACTGGGTGGGAGCCGCACACTCCTACCTGCACGTGGCCCGCGTGGGTCGCGGGGTTGCCAGTCCTGCCGTGCACGTTGGGGAGCCGGTACATGCAGGTTGGAAGCTCTACACGCAGAGGTGCGCCGCCCCCGTGATAGGGTTTTACCTGGTACATCGGCATCGCGGGGACCAAAGAAGGAAGGTGGGCGAGGGACACGAACGCTCACAAACCGTCAGAGGACGCCACGCACAGCTGCTACCGTGTTTCGGACTTAGCTGCTGGCGTAACGAAAAGAAAAAAAATGCAGTCTGTGCGCTCTAATTGGTCCAACCCGTATGACGACACATACTCGACCTTTAATATTACCAATCAGCGAGAAGGAAACCTGGGAACCATTTGCTGTCCCGCCCGGAAGGGGGTGGAGATCTATGTCAAAAACAGCCAATCAGCTCTCAGGAGAGCCAGCCCTTGTGGAAGTGGCGGCCGGAAGAACTCCCGCGGTCTCCGGGAGTCGCTTGGAGTCCATGGAGCTTGCCGCGGGATCGAGGTGAGCCCGACTATGTCGGAGTGTCCTTTCTGGGTTCCACGACGTTCCATCTCCCTAGAAAAGGGCCGGAAGTGGCCGAGGCGCGTGGCGAGCCCGCAGCACACGGGGCCTGAGTCGCATTCTTAGCGCTCCGGGTCCGGTTCGGGGAAGGAGGCGGGACGAGGTGGGTGTCCCGTCCCGGTGCCTGGCCGGAGCGGGAAAGTCGGCGCCTAGGAGTTCAGGGTTCGTCCCACGCAGGCCGGCTGCCCTGTGAGGTCTTGCATGATCCCTGTAGACGGATTGACTTCCTTTCCTTTCCCTTTTATTTGGAGCCTGCCTCTTTAATTGAGAGTACCGGCCGGGGACTAACTAGGGCACGCTACTTTTTCTGGGTTGCAGGTGTTTTTTTTCCTGTATGTGATGTATGCCTGGCAAGCCACAACGAAATCCAGCGGCGATCTGCGGCCTGCTCTCCCATTGTGTTCAATGTCAAAAGACGTAGCAGTAAATTCTCTGTCAATATTTAAATACCCGCCCCCACCTCCTCCATTCAACATAAGCATCACAAACTGCTAGATTAATTTGTAGGGTGAGAGGGAGTTTCCATTTCGTGTGAAGTCATCTGTAGACCAAGAATTGAGATTCCTTGACTTGTAAAATCAAGCGTAAAGTGGTTGCTTTCATTCTTTTATTTCATTGGAAATGAAAGATCTGCTACTTGGTGAATACCCAGAGATCTCTCTCGCAGGGAAGCCTTGGATCCCATTGTACCCCTGTTAGCAAATCATATTTTAAGCTAATA